GAAGAGTACACAGTTGAACTGATATAGAAAACTATACATGAAGTATACTCCCCTGAACCTCAACGTAAGATAAATCCATTTGAAGATATCGAATTCAAAGGTGCTAGGGATGCGCATAATGCGGGAAAGCAAAGCCTGCAATATTTTTCTCAAACAAGAAAGGAAAGTTCAGAAGCACTAACTTCAGATTGATTGTATTTTTATACTGTTCATGAAATAATCTTCCTGAATAGAGACTATTTTTTCTTCAATTATCTCGTGTACCCTGTATTTTGAGATGATTCAATTCGACCATATGAACATCAATAATCATAGAATAACTTCCTGGAGCTGAAGGTCTCGGGAGTTATTCAGATTATTAATGCTCATATGGTCTCACCAAATTGTCAAAATACAAGGTACTCTCGATGGAATTATAAAAAAAATATATAGTCGGCTATTCGTCATGATCTCGGGATATTACCTACGATAATTTTGTCGTTTCATTATTCCCGGAATTGTTCTGTCGAGCAACACCACGAGTCCGTCAGGACGAGTTTTAGCTTTTATTTCAGGCTTACTTATGCATTTTATTCTTGCGAATCTTTGAAATCCACCGCTGGCTACCGATAACGATAATATTTGGATTATGTTATTATCATTACGAGAATTGCTACTATGTCAGTATGTTACTTTTATTATTATGTTATTTACCTGTACAACGTGTTTTCTTCTTGATGATTTTGAATGGAAAAATTAAAAAAAAAAGCGCTTCTACCGGGGATCGATCTCACAACCTTTAGATCACGAGGCAGATGCTCAACCTATTACTCTAAAAGACACTTGTTGATGAACATTATATAACATGCCATATTATGTGCGAATGCCGATTGACTCATCATATCTATACTTTTATTGAATTAGATAATCACGGCAGAAAATACCTAAATAGATGTTTTGTGATCTGGTGGGGCCAGTAAATAATGAATTTATTGTGAGCATTGTTTGTTTGCAAGGTTCCCGTGAAAAAAGTCGATAACGTCCAGAGTTGGACGTACCCAGTACATCGGAATCGTACGTACCCAGTACGTCCAGAAATGGACGTTTTCAGTACGTCTTGAAAAGGTCCTGGACGTTCAGACCTAAATGGGACCTGAACTGGATGTCCCCAGGACGTCGAATGGGACGTGCAAAGTATATTAGTACCTATTCTCATGTTGAAAAGTAACCAAGATACAGGAAGTGCTCAAAAATAAAGAATTTTCAACTTCGACATGTACCTTAAAAGGAATGTGAAAATTATGTTCGCGGCACTATTGATTTCACATAGAAGCGATGATATATAGAAGTTAGGACGTAATGTGAAACCGGCAACATTCTATCTCCATAGATAGCTGAGATATCGCGCGAAAGCATCGAGAACTTGGCACAATATACAATATATCCGATGTTGCCAGTAAGATTTGGAATATGGAATTTGTTTTATTGAATGAGTGATGATCTGCATATATGCAGATAGATTTTTGAAATCTACCATCCAATTGGTATCGCGAAATCGAGTGCAATTTTCCTTATAGAAAAGTGCAATTTTTCAATCATTTAGCCCAGGATAGTAATTGGAACAGGTGCCGTTCGATGAACTAAAAAATTTTTACATTTCTTCGAGACATATTATATTATTACGTTATCAGATGACTCTCTTTTAGTGAGCAGTGATATCTTGTTTTGAAAAGCGTTTGGAGAAGAGAGATATATACGTATATCGAAAAAATATCAATTTTTAATCCAGCTTTGAACGCTCCAGTAACGAATATGCTCTCGTTTTCAACATAAAACTGGAATACATTTCTAACCAATAATGTTTTCCGTTTTCTCCATGTCATAATACTCAAATTCCATTTCCACACCGAGCGAAATTTCTATAACAGTTGTTATACGGAATTGTATGAACTTCAAAATATCTCGGAATAGGAATTCAAAAATTCTTGAAACTGTGAAAAGGAACTGATATCAGAATGAAATACTCATATAAATATCACTCGTTTTCAATTCAAAAGTTGGAGTATGTCCTGATCAATTCTGATGAAAGATGTTTCAACCACTTCGTTATTTCGGAAAGAAACTATCACCCTGTATTTCACGAGCTCTTGCGCTTCACAAGTAGGCCCTGGCTATACACACCCTTTCATGTCCCTACATATCAAGTCATCATAGACAACATAGTACGATTAACTGAACTTGTATTTATAAAATTGAGGCATACGATTATGACAGAATATATATTATTTCTTTTTGCAGGAGGTACATTATTCTGCATCAAATTTCTATTCCATCAATTATGAGAGATCTTGATCTTTATCAAATCGAAAAGGTACCCTATACTGAACAAAAAGAATGAAGGTACTGAAAGAGCGACATGTTTCCCGTTCGTCGTTTCAATATTTCAAGTTAAAATGTTTTAATTAACAGTTATCATATTTTCTTCTATGAACGTGAAAAAATGACATGGTTCGGGCATTGATGAAAATATGCGGAGTGACACATTTTTCAGTTCCCTACGTTATCATGACACCTTGCGCGAAACAGTGCGCCAAATACCTACTTCGTGCACTGCATGTAAACTATATGAGTTTTTTGAATTTTAACCTTCATGTTGCTTTTCCAAGCTGAAATTCAAAGAATGATCTATTTCTAAAAGTTCAACAAGAATGGATGCTTTTCAACCCAGTCTCGAGTTCAACACATATTTTTCATTTTTGAATGTATGACAAACTGATATTCATCATAGAGGACGTGGAAACAAATTCAGAATTGGGGAAACCCAATCACGAATCTGTGATAAGAGGTCTCCAGAAATAACAAGTTTCCATCGTTCAAATTTGAACTCCTTGATTGAGTGAAAGGTTTGAAAAAGAATATTCTCAGATGAGTTATATAAATATATAAACAGATACATCGAGAATTCGCATTCTCTAAGTGATGAAAATATTTTTTTTTTCTACAAACGTCGAAAAATGACAAGGTTCGCGCATCGATACAAATTGCGGAGTGACACTTTTTTTCAGTTTCCTACGTTACCATGATACCTTGCACAAAACAATGCGCGAAGTAAAACAGTGCGCGAAGTACCTACTTCGCGCATTGTTTTATAAAATATATGATATATTTATATTTCAACTTCATGGTCCTCAATCGAGCAAACATCCACGATATCATTTATTTCTTAATGTTCAACAATAACTTTGTTTCATCTCTTGGAGCGCACGAAAGGAAATTACTATTATACGTTCGTGGATCATCGGGCGTACCTAGGGAAGATAGGGGGAGGCCTTTCAAGCCAGTTCAACACTATTTTATATATCGAGCTGAGTATATTTTCCCTTTAGAACTATATTTTTTGAAGTTTGTAGAAAAAATGTTGTTTGCAACTCGAGCGCAAAATACTTTGGTCATCTCGACTATTTTTTTAACTTGGCTACGCCTCGTCAAAAAAATCAGATCTCGATCACCAAAGTAGCATTTCGCGCTCTAGATACAAAAATAACTATTTTCGGTTTATTCAACCTGAAACAACTACTTTCTTGGCTTTATGCTACGACGGCTGATGATGGACAATATTGATGTCCGAAACATGTACCCCAAATTCCTCTCAGGATATTAAACGTGATGAAGATGATTTTGTGTTTGTCTCTTACTACCCACAACTCTACTCCACTTTGAGCTATGGACTTCTACACTAGATTATATTTCTATATCATAATACATTATATCATTTATCTGATATGAGAGAGAATGCCTATTCTCAATTCAAGAGGATTTTTATTTTCCATGCTCTTCTTCTGGATGTTCAACAGATATAATTCAATGTACGACGTGGCAAATAGCCAGGACATTTGTAGTTTTTTGTTAAATATTCAGAATGATATTATGTGCATATACATATTTTCATCTGGAGAAAAATGCAAATTCCCAACTTCAGAAGATTTTGTATTCAAATTCTTATCAATCAATATAATTTCAATATATCAATCGATATAATTCAATGTCCGTAGTGGCATATAGCCAGAAAAGTAGTTGTTTTTCGTTGAATAAACCGAGAAAGAATTGATACTTTCATCACATATTGAATGCGAATTTTTTCTTCATGTTCATAATCCATCTGAGAGTATTCCTTTTCATTACTAATTCTCATTATCAAGCTAGGATTACTTAGTCAATTTCGGAACAGTAATTTTTGACGTTAGTAAAAAAAATATTGTTTGAAACACGAGCGCGAAATAGTGATGATCTTGACTATTTTTTCTCAGTAGTTATAGCTCAGAAGCATTTCGCGCACTAGATACAAAAATATTTATTCTCGAAAAAAAAGTTGATCACCAGATTTTAATCGGTGTATAAACGATGATAAAAAATCTTGAAAAATCTGGAGAAAAACAATTTTCGAAAGTAATCATCTGACGCGATTCAAAACGATAGCACAGAAAGAAAAATAAACTACAACAGAATCATACTTCTTTACGACAATCACTCATGACATGTTTCGAAGCTTCAAAGCTACATCATCAGCAAATTGACTACATAGGAGCACAGTTCTGAGAGGAAATAAGTATGTTTACATAATATTGAGAAGTGAAAATATCATTACATCAATTGTGCGGGTGACCCCAATCAGCTGCTGATCACCCATGTTAGGAAACATTCACAAACATTGTTAAAAAATTCAGCATAATCCGATTGATAACTAAAATACCTGTGACCTGCATAATTTTTTAACAATGTTTGTAAATGTTTCCTTACATCGAAGGTCCGCAATAGATTGCGGTCCCTTTTTCAATCATTGAAATAGTTCGTAAACTTCTCAAAACTATGTAATCTATTTGCTGATGAAGCTTCGAAGCTTCGAAACATGTGTGTGAATTGTTGATATGAAGTTTAGTTCTGGTGGAGTTGACTGTGAGTGTGAGAATTTCTTTCTGCCAACATTCAAATGTCTTTGAAGAGGAAAAAAAATTGGTACTTACTTTATTGCTTCTCATGATTCCTTCTAGAGATTGTACACTTCCATACACTGTCAGCAGGACCAAACCAACTTGCCACCTTGAGATCATTGCCGTTTTGTGAAAGACCGGATTCGATATGCACAATTCGGTAGTTTTAATCACAAAGTAGTTCTACCGATCCTTGAAACAATGTAATTTTATTGGCATACACTTGAATTGCCGTGGAACAGAAAAACCGCGATAATTATTATAAACAGTTATTTCATGATAATGTTGTGATTTTGTTATACATTCATTATACAGTGTGATGATTAATCATAAACAAATTGAAAATGCCTACGTTATAGTAGGTTAGAATTGTTCAAGTTTTTCGCTACAAGAGCATACTAGATATGGGAATACGAAATGAATTCATAAACAGAAACAAATAGTATTCAATCTGTCACTTTTGTTGAATGTTTTGTTTTATCAACAATGCTGACGACAGGCAAGACCCACTTTAGAAGGCGATCACTTTTTATTACCCATGATAACATGAACTTTCATCACTAATATAATTCCATGTGCAGAACTTGAATGCCGTGATATGACCTCTTCGCGGTCTTTATCTTCTTCTTCTCATCTCTTGGAGTGCACAGAAGGGAATCCCTATTATGTTAGAAGAACATCGTGCTCAATATACACACTGTTTTCGATTTTGAATAGATATTTTGTCAATTCTGCAATTTTCTTCAGAATGGCTCCGTATCAAAATTTTTCTGAGTTGGAAATTCTTCTGGATGCCAAGAGATGGCTGAAGTGCCGCAGTATAATAGAAAAATTTCGGCTTACCTGGGTCATTTTCTTCTCATTATTTATACTGAATGAAACTATCGTACTTTTACACAGAAAATATAGGTCATAATATAATTTAATATATTTTTTTTTGTGACGGAAAAAGAGTTTTGACATTTCATATCTGTTCGAAAATTATATACAGGGTGTTTCATTGAGAAAGGTAAATAATTCAACTGTGGATAGGGGTCACTGAGGTGATTTCAAAAAACCCATGGTTGATGGGTCTTCGACTTCTTATAACCGAGATACAGGATGTTTCATCAATTTTGTCCATATCTTCATTGTCTCATAACTTTCCAACCAACCTGTATATATTTTTAAAAATTGGTACACTTGCTCAATTCACCCTGTGGAATTGAATGAGGCAACAACAAAAGATAAAATCCAGGTCCGGCTCCACTTAAAATTCACAAATTCTTTCTGCCAGAAAACAACACCCTTTACACTCAAATTTCAAATTTTTTTTTGCCATATCTGAAAAAAAAATCAAAATTCCTATTCAACGATGTGCTCTTTATTCGTGCACAGACGATTTTAACTATTCATATTATGTGCTCGAAATATCATTTTTGCTCATTTTGGGGTACAAAATTTGAATCAGACGAGATTTATCAATTTTATTACTTCCTATTCAGTATACGTGAGCATTACATTTAGAAGGAGTATTTCATATCGTTCTTTGTTCCAGACTTAGTTGCTGGTCTGTCATCAAATCTATACAGGGCTTTTCACGATGAGCGTTAATTTGAGGTTTTCGGCAAACCCAGGCAACGGATAAATCTGAAATTCTGATGGTATGTATAAATTAACAGAATCTACACTACTGACATATTTGAAACGATCTGGCCGTGCCGCTTCTACTAGAAAGTAGCAGAAACTCCGATTTTTCAAATGGGACACCTATTAGCAGAATTCATCGATTCCAAACATTCAAGGTCTAGCGGGACTGATAACTGAGATATTGGATGTGGAAAATCGAGATGTTTCGACTTTAGGAATGTTTTGTGTTGAAACTATTTATTATTGCATGGTCAAAACGGCGTCAATGTCCCTATCACAACTTTCCATTCGATATTCAATTGAAACAGATACAGGGTGGTGCAGAAATCTGAATTATGAACCATCCTGTATTTGTTTCGATTAAATTTGTCAATAGATAAAAAGTTAAGATAGGGACATAAAAGCCGTTTTGGTCAATAAAAAATATTATCGCAAATTAATTCTAAAGTTGAAATATTTCGATTTTTCTCACTCTGAATATCTCAGTTATAGTCCCACTAGACCCCAAACTTTGTGAATCGATTAAATCACTTCAGGAAGCATCCAGGGTGTCCCATTTGAAAAATCAAAGTTACTTCTACTTTCGAGTAGAAGCGGCAACGCCGGATTGTTTCAAATATTCCAGTTGTGTAGATCATGTTAATTTATACAAACCTTCGAATCTTTAGATTTATCCGTTGCCTGGTTTGCCAGAAACATCTAATTAACGCTTATCGTGAAAAGCCCTGTATAGTTTTGATGACGGACCTGCAACTAAGTCTGGAACGAAGAACGATATGAAATACTCCTTCTGAATGTAATACTCACGTATACTGAATAGGAAGTAATAAAATTATTAAATCTTGTCTGATTCCAATTTTCTACCCCCAAATGAGAAAAAATAATATTTTGAGCACATAATATGAATAGTCAAAATCGTCTGTGCACGAATAAAAAGCACATCGTTGAATAAAAATTTCGATGTTCTTTTCAGATATGGCAAAAAAAATGAGAAATTCGAATGTATAGGGTGTTGTTTTCTGGCAGAAAGAATTTGTGAATTTTAAGTGAAGCCGGACCTGGATTTTATCTTTTGTTGTTGCCTCAATCAATTCCACAGGGTAGATTGAGCAAGTGTAACAATTTTTAAAATTATATACAGGTTGGTTGGAAAGTTATGAGACAATGAAGATATGGACAAAATTGATGAAACATCCTGTATCTCGGTTATAAGAAGTCGAAGACCCATCAACCATGGGTTTTTTGAAATCACCTCAGTGACCCCTATCCACAGTTGAATTATTTACCTTTCCCAATGAAACACCCTATATACAGGGTGGAACATTAGTGCGTCGGAGCTCGATTGGTCGAGTTCTATGATAGCTAGATTCAAAAACAAATGTCAATGAGACAACAAGGTCCCTCACTAGAAATTATTGTCGCAAATACAGGGGGGCATCGGAAAAATTCTAGAGGGTTAGGATCACTTTCTTCAAATGGAATACCCTATATATAAGCACATTTTTCCAAGCATGCCTGTGACCTCCATCACTTCTGAGTCACTAATTTTTTTGTTGAAATAATGTCAACTGCAGATCTATACCAGAAACATCACTGTTATCACAATCATGAAGTTTAAGAGATGATGATCATAATATCATTTGATTGAAAGATGCGTGATATTTCCAAAATTTTCATGCCCTGGGTAGCTGGAAATGTTTTTTAGATTCGGTACTTTAAGAAGTGATTGTTCTCGAGTTTTTCAAATGAATCACCCCATTAATTTTTTGGCCATTTGGTATGAAATCTAAACACTAACATCTTCCATCTCAACATCTATATAGATATTCGTAACCATTTTTGAATTATTATTATATTCGAAAATTATAGGTAGGCCATTTTTCATCGATACACATTCTCATCTGTTATTGAAACATCAAAAGTCCAATTAATAATTCAGTAGACTTGTTTTTTCATCGAGAGAATTGATACCAGAATCAAAACAAATAGCAATAGTTCATAATTATGCTAGTTATTCACGGAGTGAAAAAGAACGAAGTTCCGATTTCGCATAATTGTAAATTACTATGCTGTTATTCATGAGATATTTTGAAAATGGAAATGTTTTACTTTTTTACTTTGTGAATCACTAGCATATGAACTATTTCTGATGTTTGCTTTGATTCCGGTATGGATTCTTTCAATAAAACTGATTTATTGATCGGACTTTTGATATTTTAATAACAGATAAGAATGTGTATCGATGAAAATGGCCAACCTGGA